ATCGAAGCTCTGAGGCCATGGCGCAACCCAGATCTCTTCAGCCGGAGGGGTTCCCCTGGGCTTGGTGACATTGCACGTTGTGGTCATGACGGACGCATCAACTCACGGCTGGGGAGCAGTGTGCAAGGGCAAGCCTTGGGGCTGTGGGCAGAACCCCAGAGCCGGTGGCACATAAACCGATTGGAGCTGGAAGCAGTGTTCTTAGCTCTAAAGGTTTTTTGACTGCAGCTGTAACAGCGGCATGTACTGATTCGCATCAACAACATCTTTGGTCTCGTACATAAATCACCAAGGAGGTGTGCACTCCAGGGCGCTGTACAAGCAGGCAGCGAATCTCCTGCGGTGGGCGGACCGTCACTTTATCTCCATCAGAGCAGCGCACATCCCCGGTCTCCTGAACCGTGGGGCGGACATGCTTTCGAGGAAAGGGATTCCTCAAGGAGAGTGGAGGTTGCACCCGTCAGTTCGGATTATTTGGACCCGCTACGGAAGAGCAGAGGTGGATTTGTTTGCGATGAGCGATAATACGCATTGCCCGCTGTTCTTCTCTCTGTCTCACTTTCCGCTGGAAGGGGATGCTCTGACGTCGCCTTGGCCAGCAGCCAGACTGTACGTGTTTCCCCTGATCAAGATATTGCCACTGGTGTTATGCAAGATCAGAGAGGAGGGGGCTTCAGTGATACTCGTGGCCCCAAGCTGGCCGAACCAACCTTGGTTCCCGGACCTGACAGAGCTGCTGGTGATGCTGCCCTGGCCGATCCCTATCAGGATGGATCTGCTGTCTCAAGCGAGTGGCTTGGTGTGGCACCCGAACCCGGAGTTATGGAGCCTTCATGTGTGGCTGCTTTGGGGATATCAGAGTAGCTGAGCACCCTGCATTCTCGTGTGCTTGACACGCTTTTGGAGGTGCGGGCACCCTCCTTGGGACATTTGTATGCCCTAAAATGGGGAGTGTCTGTGAAATGGTGCCGTGATGCATATCGACCCCGCTGCTTGCTTTGTGTCGGATGTTCTGCGTTTTCTACAGTACAGGCTGGATAGTGGATCTCTACCGTCAACTCTGAAAGTCTATGTGGCCACTATTGCCTCATTTCGTTCCCCGCTGGGCGGGTAATCGATCAGTAGGCATGTGCTGGTGTTGAGATTTCTTAAGGGGTAAGGAGATTGCATCCCCTGCATCCGCCTTCAGCCCCACCCTGGGACCAAGAGGTGGTGTTAATAGCTCTTTCACAGCCATCATTCGAGCCTCGAACTGCACTCCTTTTTGCCCTTGCTTCGGCTAAGCGCATAGGGGATTTACATGCATTTTCTGTGGACAGCGATTGTATTCGCTTTGGACCCGATGACTGCAGCATCATTCTCCGGCCGAGACCGTGTACGTGCCTAAATCCTGATCTACTCTGTAAGATAAACAGGTCAATAATTTAGCTCAAAGGGAATCATTTAAGATTTTAAAGGGAACTCCACCATTAATATGTAAGGGAATTAGGACAGAATCACTGTTTTACGGC